CAGGTACTAACCTGTGAAGATGGCGCTGTGCTGCAGGTACCTCAAAGGCGAAGCTGGAGCTATGGCGCTGCAGGTTAGTATCCCTGGCCTGTCTCTCTAGTACTACTGTAGCACCTAAGAGCACCCAGCGCTGAAGACTGCTGCTAACGCTACTAGCGCCCAGCGCTGAAGACTACTGCTAGCGCTACTACTCCTGCAGCGCTCCTCCAGAGTGCTGCTGCCGAATCCTGAAGACTACCTCCTGCCTCCTGAACTGCACGTGAAGTGCTTGGGAAGTACCTAGGAACTACCTGCAGACTGCAGGGCGGGCCAGTCCTATATAGTGCTGGCCCGTCCAGGAGGCTGCTCTTGCCAATGCCGAAACGTGCCAGACCCTGGCGTTGAAGCTTAACCAGGGGTTGTCTTGAAAACAGGCCCAGAATGGCCTGTGCTAAAACCCTGGTTTGGTGCCTGAGTTTCAGGGCAGGTCGAACTCATGAGGGCCTGAAAATGGCCCTCACTTTCAGGCTGAAAAGACTTAGGGCCGGAAAGGCCCTGATTTAGGCTGAAACGACACAGGGCCTGTAGGCCCTTGTTTTCAGGCTTTCAGGCTGAAACGACACGGGGCCTGTAGGCCCTTCTTTTCTGGCTTTCGGGCCTGAAAGTGGCCCGTGCAGCCTGTTGCAGGCGCAGCATGTAACAACAGGCCAGAGGCAAGTGGGCAAGTGGTGATTCCAACTTCGCTTAGTCAGCGGTACCCAGTCCCAGTCTTACTTTGTACCATGGGCATGTACCATGAGGGACTGCGTGCACCATGGGCCCGGTGGAAAAGGACAGACCAACGACTTACAGAAGTATAAATAAATAGGCAGCGTCCAGTCATTCATTTTTTCATTCGCTGCATAAGCCATGCGGAAGTGCTGCCCCAGCGTCTTGTGCGAGGTGGTCTGCAGAGTGCCCGAAGTCGAAGTGGGCAGGAAGGAGATAGCGTAGCCATAGCAATAGTAGCGAGCGGCCATAGCCGCCATAGGTTAGAGATAGCTGTTAGTGTGTACGTGTGTGTGATACAGAGGGAGTGTGCATGGGGTATTCAGGGCGATCCAGAGTCGAGTGTGTGCGAACAGAGGTGTTGGACACAGTAATGAGAGTTGGGATGTACAGGCGCTGATGCGCCATAGCCTGTTGAAGCGAGTTTGCATCTGAACTGTGTTCGTGGTTTCCATATCTCTGAGCTTTGAGTGGGCGCTTGGCGCCAGTGTGAATTGCCATCTGTTTGCATGTATGCGAAGGGAAAAAGAATGCGAGTCTGATTGCACTCCTAAGGCTATACAGGGAACCCCTGCAATCATAGCTTTCTATGTGGTGTGTGGTGTGTGGTGTGTGATATCCCATAATTTTAGTTACCATAAAATTCCGGCGATTGAATTGGCTGATCATCTCACCTACATTTCACTTCATGTCTCTTTTTTTTGGGGGGGGGTCTTTTTCTCTTTCCTTTCTTCATGCTGTTCCTCCTGTGGACAAACTCTCTCTCTCTCTCTCTCTCTCTCTCTCTCTCTCTCTCTCTCT